TTTAATAATTCATATTGAAAGTCACAACGAAAGGACAGATGGGTATTAGAAGAGAACAAAATACACTAATATAAATGTAAAATAAAAATAATAATGGATTAGATTTAGAAATGATAACAATACCTTTTATGGGTTAATAGAAACAAATAGTAGTGGTAGTTCTGTAATGAAAACAAGAAATAGACAATAACAGAAAGGTAGAATAAAGGAATATTCAGTGACTTGTGCAGGAATGTGCTTATCAATAAATTTACAGATAACAAAGAAAGTAGCACATGAGGAATAAAACTGACAAAAAGTAAATTAAATAATAAGAAGATGTACTCATGAAGTAACTTAATGGACGCAATAAATAATAAAGCTAGAAAATAATGCTATTGGTTCTGAATAAATTCTATTAGATTAAATAGACAAATAAATATCAAATGAAACAACTTAGAAAAATGTTGTATAGTTTTTAAATCTCAAGTATTCTCTTGTACTTAAACATAATAATTTAGACACATTCTTTAGTTGTCTCTTGTCTGTGGACTGATGAACTAACAAAATAAATATAATATGTCTTAGTTTTTTATATTATTCTGGTTTGTTAATGTCCAATAGTGGTTGAATTGTTTTGGATTAAAACTTGCATACCAATCAGTTAACATAACAATAAGTCAAAATAGAAAATAGGGTTTTAAATAACTTTTTAGTTTCAGTGGGATGGTGTTTATACTGATTATTTTCATTATACAAACTTATGGGTGCATGTATGGGTGTAACGAATGTAATAGTGTCGAGTGTATTAGTTGTGATGAAGGCTATCAACTAACTAATGGAATTTGTATTTCAATAGAATATATAAAAGAACCAACAAACAATTATTTGTGTAGTTCTGGAATTTGTGTTTTAGATTATTCTCAATCTAACCAAACAGAAATTGAACTAACTTCACACATAACCTCACTATTACTTCCATCTCATGAGATAGTAGTTTCTATCCATGATGGTGATATTAACTCAGTTATATCAGGTGATTTTATCATTTTTTCAACTTCAGTTCATATTAATTCTATTCATCTTCCTCTTTCTACATTACATTCTCAAAAAGGATTAAATGTTAATGTAGTTGAATGCAATTCAATTTTTTTAGAAGAAGAATCTACAATTAGAACATTAAAATCAAATTCAATTGAATTAAACTATCACTCTATGAACAAACATAATATTAACATTGTCATTGTTGACTTTAATACTACAATTAAAATTCATGTAAACGAAGATCAAAAGAAAATTATTGAAAAACATGGAGTTTATTTCTTAGAAAACACTAAGTTTATTTCCTCAAACAATACAAATAACATTTCTGATTTAATTTCATTAAATTTGATTGTTGGAGAAGAAGAGGTAGTTCTACCATATTACTTTATTACAAATCTATGTAATAATAGAACGTCAGCATTCTGTTTGTTATTTCTCATGTAGTTATTAATCATCTTTCAACACTGATATGACTAGTACCAGAAATCCCAGAAGATTTTAAAACTTCATGTCCAGACTATATATTTGTTAAACCAACTACTTCACTATGGTGGGTAAGTGCAACGATATTTATATTTTTCATTATTTGTGTGTTCATTTTTGGAATATGTTTTTCAATTTACCATTATTTTAAGTCAAGAAATCAATGACTACTATCTTTTATTCAATCAATTCAATACTAGTTTTCACTTTATTAATTTCTATTTTTTATTTAATTGGTCAAACGAATATATCCTCTTTACCTTTTCAAATGAATTCTATTAAAGCATTAAAAGTGTGATAACACTAAAACTAATTTCACATTTATTTATTTAAACAAATAGTTGGTGTAATAATTTAAAAAAAATCTGGGTTGATTTATTTATTTTCAAATTACTCATCTTCAAAATAAACAAATACCTCCTTTATTCTTTTTTAAAGCATTTATTAAACCCTCTTAGAGTGTAATAAATACAATAGGCTGTTATTGTTATTTTATTAATACTCTATGCCATTTACTTTTTTATTCTCCAGGAGAATCATATATTACTAACCTCAATAATATGTAATTAAAACTATAAATCTAAGTTATTTAAAAAATATAGTATTAATAAAAGTATTTTATTACTGTTATGTTTGCTATTTATCCAGTTTTTTGTGTTACTATAATATATTCTTTATTCTTCTAATTTCTATGATTAACACTCTAATAAAATACCTATGAATTTTGAAATAAAAAAACTAATTATACCATGTACTCTTATATCAGTCATTTGAGATAAAGTAAATACAAAGAAGTAGTAATAAAAAATTAAATCAATTTTTATTGGTTGAGTATCACTGGTGTTGATTGAAGAACTTTTTGTTCAATTCCTTTTAAATATTCAACTCTTATCTTAACAGGGATATTTCCATTAACTTGTCCTTTTGTAGTAAATAGTTGCACACCTTCCTCTTGAGGTTTAATTAATTCTTTTTCTATGCATTGGACATCAACATGAATACTTTTGGGGGCAGCTACTTTTAAGATAATATTTTTGATATTTTCATTTCCTGTGTTTTTAAATACTGTAACAACAGTACACTCATCTCCATTTTTCTTAATTTTAAATTGGATATGAAGAAAGGCGTCTTGACAAACATCAATAATTTTTTCAATAGGTGTAGATGGTATGTATTCTGTGAATTCAAAGTCATCACTTTCATTATTACTGATTTGTGTGTTTTCTTTCTTTTCATCTGAAACAATAGACTGTTGAGGTTCTATGAATTTATTTTCTTTTTTATCTTCATCGTTTGTTATAGAATCATTTCCAATAAGATCGAACACCAATGGCGTAACTGATTGTTGTTGTTGATTTTTTTGATCATTTTCAACTGAACCTAATATATCATATTTTGAAGGTTTTATTTGGGTGGGAGGAACAAAACCAAGGATATCATTTAATGAAGAGTTATTATTCTGTAAAGTAGATGATTGGTTAAATAAAACATCACTCTTCTTTCCTTCTTTTCCATTATTAAAATCTAAAAGAGTTGTAGTAGTAGAGGTAGAAGTAAAATTGTTTTGTGGAGATGTTAGTTGGGCTTCTAAAGGAGTTTGTTGTATTTGGTCTTCTCCAATGATATTTACTTGTTCTTTTTTTTCAAGTTTTTTTAGAGTAATTGAAATATTTGAATTATCATGACCAAACTCAGTGACCTCTCCTATTGCAGGCATTCTTTTCCAACCGTTCACATAATCCCCTTTGTTACACATTACAATTGCTTCATTATATCTTTGATTTTCTTCAAATGAATGACCACCCTTAAACTGAACTAATAATTTATTAACATTATTTCTTTCTTTTTCACCTTCTCGTGCCGCTATTTTAGCTAACGCAGTTATTTTAACTAGTTCTTCACAATTACATCTGATAACTTCTTTAATTATTATATCTTCTTTAATTATATTCTTTAACAAATCAAAATATTCACCAACACACCACACGGCAGCTTTTTTAATTGGTTGAGAGGCAATTCTCATTAATGGGAATAGCTTAGTAACAGCATAAGTTTGGATATCATTTAATGCAATGATATTAATTAATCGTTGTGTAATATTTTCATTTATATATTTGTCTGACTCCATTGCTGTGTTTAAAAAACAATCAAATTTCCATTGAGCCTCTGCATTAACAAGTTCTATTAAATCACAAACAACTTTTGATGCTTCTTTTGTATATTTTTCACCTTCTCCTAATGATGCAATAATATGTTGAACAATTTCTTTTTGAGAACCATGTTGAGCCAATTGAGCAGAAATGTGTAAAGCAAAGAGTTTAATTCCTTCATCCTCATCTTCGAGACAATCAAGAATTCTTGAAATAAAAGGAATTAAAAATTTCCAAATTGATTCTGTTCTTAATTCAATATATCTAAAAGCAGCATATCGAGTGTTTGGGTATCCATCGTATAATAATCGAATAATATAATTTATTCCCATCTCTTTTACTAATGAATCACATTCAATTTCTAACGCACATTGAGCAGCAACAAATCCAACACAAATTCCAATACTGTTCTTTGGAGAACTAACAATAATATCAGCTAATACATCTTCAATAACAAATATATATTTTTTTGTATAAATTTTTTTTAATAAATCTAATATATTACAACAAACACATGCTTGAAGTGAAACATCTAAACCATTTCCACGAGTATTTTTATTTAATACTGAAACTAAAATTGGAACACTAGAATCAAAAGCATGTTGAAACGATGGATGACTAATAATACTAATAATTAATTTAGTTATAGGAAGAATAAAATCATTTTCAGATTTATTTAAAAATCCGATAACAGGATTTATATATTGGTCAATAAGATTTGGACATTTTTTAATTATACGTAATGCTGCTGCAATGGCTTTCTTTTGTACGTTTCTTATTCTTGAATTAAAAGCTTTAAGGACATGAGGTGAAATTACCTGACATAATTCTTCACTACCAATATTGGCTATTGTAGTTAATGCTAATTCAACAATATTTTGATTATCACTTTCAAGGTCTTTTTGTAAATGATTAATAATTAATGTTAATGTCTCTTGGTTTTCATCAAGTAATAATCCCAATGCTAAATACCCAATTCTTTTTGTTTGAAATTCATGTGATGAAATTAAAGCAAGACATTCTATTTGTGCAAATTGTGTATTATATCCTAGTAAATCTAAATAAATTAATTTCATTACATTTCTTGTTTTGTATTGATTTTCTGGCATAGTACTTCTTATATCAGCGCACTCTCTTGTAATAAGAGTTTTTTCTTCTTCAATAGTTTTACATGCCTTAACTCGTTCAATAAGTTCTCTTAATTTAATAGAATGTTTTGGAGTTTCTTTGAAAGATTTCATCTGTCAAAAGTAATTCTTTCAAGTTTTTTAGTTCTTATCGATTTTTTTCTATTTTTTTTTGTTTATAAAAACAAAATTAAAAAACAAAGTTAAATTTGTATTATTAATATCCAATCCATTCAGGGAATGCCAATACTTCTTCACCTATTACTCCATTATTCATTTTTTCAATTTCATTTTCAAGAGCTAAACGATATTTAGGAAAGAGTTGTTTAAGTGTTTCATATTCTTCAAGAGCCATTTGAATGTTTCCAGTCTTTTTTAATAATCGTGCATACACTAATCTAACAGTAACATCATTCATTGATTCCTCTCTCAACACTTTAATATCTTTTATTGCTTGTTGAATATTCCCAACAGAATCTAATAAAACTATTTTTCTTAATCGAATTTCTACTGATTGTGTTAAATTTAATAATGAACTAATCCATTTGATTGATTGATCATATTTCTTCATTTTCATTGATACAATAACACCAGTAGTTAATGACTCAATAGTATTGCTTAATCCAATTGCAATAGAAGAAGCTGATAATGCTTCTGAATATAACTTAAGTTCTAATGAAGCATGAGCAATACCACACCATCCTTTATAATTATTTGGGTTTAATTGAATAACTATTCTGTAATGTTTAAGTGAGTCTTGAAATTGTTTGTCTTTCATTAGAGCATTTGCAAGATATAATTCATTTTGAACACAATACTTGATTAATAACGCTTTCTCAAAACAAGTAACAGCCTCACTATTCTTATTTAATCCAAGTGCTTCAAATCCTAATACAATCCAAGATTCATAACACCACCTGTATTCTCCAGATTTCATGGCTAGTGCATGTAACTCTTTCCAACTTTTTAGTTGGTATAATGCCTCAGCATAAAAAGGATATAAGCTCATTGCAAATGGATACATTCTAGCAGCATTTCTTCCTAATGCAACAGTTATATTTGGTTTTTGTTCAATAGAGCTTATACGAGCAGCAAGGAATAACCCTTCATTTGAACCAATAATTGAATTAACTTCATTTTTCATTATAGTTGTTGCATTAATAATATCTCCTTTTTCAATAGAAACACAACTCTTAAGATATCCATTAATTGCTGTGACATCAATAGTATTCTCTGACTCTCTTTGGGGATTAATTTCTGATGGAAATAATCTTCTTCTTGGAAATTGTTCATATGAAAAAGGAATAATATCAGATGAACGTGCAACAACATTACGATATAACACTTCTCCCATTTCAATAATTCTTAATTGAGCAGAAATCAAATTACTATCAATTGTTAATGCTGATTCAAAACATCGAATAGCTTCATTTCTTCTTCCTAAATGAAAATGCATCTCACCAAGAAGATAATATAAACCTGAATTCTTATGAGAAGTAACAAAAGATGTCATTTGGGTAATACCTGCAGAATACTTCTTTGTTGCTAAAATACAAAGTCCAAGAAGGTTCATTGACTGTTCAGATGGTGGAAGTGCAGAAAGATGAGAACGACATTCATCATATTTTGCTACTCTATATAAACATTGTGCAAATAATAATCTATTTTCATTTGAAGGTAATTGAGCATATAATAATTTTGATAAATCATAAGCACATTGGGTTAAGTTTGATGATAAATAATGATTAATAGAATCAACAAATGTAGTCATGATTCGTATTATTAAGTTTCTTCTATTTTAAAGTTTTTATATTAAATTTCGTGATTTAAAACAAAAAATAGGAATACGACTTGGAATTATAATACTTAATCCTTTTTGTTGCTGATTTGTTTTTAGCACATTACTAATAATACAAAAAGGATAAAATACAATGCCATTGGATAAGCAACAAGAATCTTCTTATCAACAATTTCTTGCAAAGTAGTAAATAAACGACTACTGGCATATGTACACCAGATAATAGCGAAAATTGCGATAATAATAAGAATTGTTATATTTCTAATGAAATTATTACAATAATTTTAATAGTATAAAAGAAAAAGAAACAAACGAAACAAAAAGTGAAGCAATACCAAGAAGAACAAGTGGATATGATGAATATCCAAGATTAGTTAAAACAACAAAATAATCTATGTCTTTATTTGATAATAGGTTTAATATAAAATACTCCGCTAAGGAACCAATAATAGTAAATCCAAAAACATATCCAAATCTAAATTTTCCTGTTAACAATATAGATATACCAAGTAATAACCCAAAGAATAAAGAACCAATTACATCACTTTCTATTGCTTCTATTGAACCAAATGGATTTAATCTTGAAATAATTCTTTTTGTTATTAAGGAAAAATCAATTCCTAATTCCTCTAATAAAGGTGGTTCGATTTCTTCACTAATATTTCCTTCAACAGCAGCGTTTCTTAATTGTTGACTTGACACACTTTCGTTTTGTTCTACAGAAGTGATAACTGTAGGAGATAACATTGGTGAAACAGACTTCATACCTATTTGAGAATTTGATTGATTAACAGGAGGGTTTTCTGGAGTAGAAAAATCAAAGTCATCGAAATCACCAACAGACCCAATGTCAAAAGTGACGAAATCTTGATCGTCTCCAAAGTCCATCTGAGAAAGAGTCGAGTACTGAAATATTTAGTTCATTTTTTTTCCAATTACATGCAAAGAAATTCTAAAGAAGATATTGAACTAAAAGAAAAGAAGAAAGCTGAACGAGTTAAGACCCGTGTTGAAATCTCTGACTTAGTAAATGAAAAGACAGGAATTCCACACCTCCAAAATTTATTAAAAGATTTTTTACTACACCAAAACGAAGATTATCTTCAGAATATTAGTCGATTACTTGAAATATATAAAACTTGGGGAAAGAATGTACGTCCTGGTATTAGTTTTGAACAATTTGTTGCACAACTATATAAACTAGGTAAAAATGAAATTATGTGTGTTTGTTTCTTTAACTAATAGTTATTATGCTTTAATTAATTTTAAAATCTAGGACTGGCTTAGAAATGAAGAAAATAAAGGTCGTACCGAAGAGGAAGAATTTCAGCCATACCAATATATGGAAAATCAAACAGAAAATATCGAACAATACTTTAATTCAGATAATCAATCAATAGAAGAAGGAGAAGAGTATTTTTAACTAATGAAGAACATTATTGATACAGTAATTAAATTAATTAAATCAAAAACAAAAAAAATGAAATAAAATATTATTATTATTTTTATTTTTAACTTTAAAAAAGAAAACATAACATATAATTTATAGTAATTTACTTATCTCATCGAATTAACAAAGGAACAAAATTGTCCCCAAGCCGTTCCATCATCAAGAAGGGCTCTAGTCATTCTTAAATAAGTGAAAGAATGAAGTCCATACCATTTTGCTTGTTTAACAATTTGATTAAATCCATTAGTATTACAACCTCCATACCCACATAATTCAAGTGCATTTTCTCCACATTTTCCAAGTCCAGCAGAAGCAGCACTCTTATAAGCTTGGTCAACAAGAGCAGCTGGATTTGAACCACAATTTCCATCAGTTCCACTCATTTCAAGACAAGTAAAATCAAATCGAGTACCATAATTTTTAAAGACTTGAGCAATATTAGTATAAGCATTTTGATTATTAGTATTATAATAACCAGCAGTAACTTCTGCAGCATGAGAAGCATCAGTATACCACCAATGAATTCCAGAAATCTTACCTGCAATAGCTAAATTACCAAAGATTGACTTAGCGATGGAGAGTACTTTATTAGTATGATCAAGAAGAAGTTGATGATACCATCCAAGGAAGAATTTACCGTATTCACTTTTATAATTATCATTTCCATTTCCAAAGAATCCTGTTGATGATGGTGGTTTAGAATTATAATTTCCTGCATTTGATGGAGAAGAATATCCCCATTCTGAGTGTCCAGCAGCTGATGCAGCAGCAGCTAATTTAGAAAGAGAAAACTTATCAGAACATTCAAACTCTCCAATTCCACAATATTGGAATTTAGCTCCTGGATATGATGGATATCTTGTTTCTCCACATGGTCCCATACCTACTTGAATTTCATTAATTGTTCCATCATCAATATAACTTTGGAAGTTTTGTTTAAATGAAGTCATGAAATCTTTATACATTTGAAGTGGTGTTCTACCTTCAAAAACAGGTTCTTCATCAGCAGCAAATGAAATGTATTCATTATTAGTCCAACCTTCACGATCTTTAAAGAAAGCACCAGCTGATTCACCAGCATTAATTACCCATTGTGGAATTGGAATAGTAACTGAGTCTCCTACATTTCCTCCACATTTATGGAATGACATAACTGCTTGGAATTTTAATCCTGCATTTTTAACCATTTGAACTAATTCTTTATATCCATTCCAATTGTAATTTCTTGGTGATGTTTCTACAAGTCCCCACCAAATATCTGCCATAACACCAGCAACTCCTCCTGATTTTATTTTATTTAAATCATTTTGAAGTTGTCCTTTATTGTTAATTCCATTAGAATTGACAGTATCAAGTGGCATCATTAAATTAACTTCAGTTGCTGAGGCAAATGAAAGAAGTGCAATTAATGCAATCATCATTATAATATCTTTCAGTTCCCTTTTGTTTATAAATACTTTCATTCTCTAATTTTAAAATAAATGAACTTAAAAATAAAGTGGAAAGATAAAAAATTAATGAGATACTATAATTTTAATATTTTTACTTAGAAAAAAATTTATCTTCAAATTCATATTAAAATAACAAGAACAACTTTAAAAAGTCGAAAAGTTAAGTCAAATGGAAAAAGAATGCGTCACTGAAAAATATGACCTAAATTTTAAAAAAACCGTCAGTTCAAAAAAGTGATAATAAGAAAGAGATCATCTACGAAACGAAAAGATAATCACTTAAAAACTGTTAAAATTGAGAAATAGAAATAACGGTCCAAGTACGAAAGAATGAATAAATTTTTTAATACAATATACACTATCTTTAATACATTTAAACAAAATGCATTAAATTTTGTCTCATTGTGGACTGTTGTTTTTGGATTTTTTACTTCTTTTATTTCACAAAATTTCAAAGTTGTCTGGGTTTGTTATATCTATCAAATTGCATTAATTTTGTTTGGAATCCTTTACCAATACACTCCAAAGATATTAAAACCAATTGAAGATTTGATCAAAATGTTTAATTGTTTCTTACTTACATTAGGATTAGCATTTAACTTTATTTCAACTACAGAAATGATAAAGACTATTCGTTCAACATTCTTTGATCAATTTCTTGTTTCTCTAGACTCTTTTTTATTTCCTCATTTTTCTAAAGGTCAAATTTCATTAATGGTTGATTCAAATAAATATCTTAATCCAACTACATTTCATGGGAAATTATTAAATGACTACTTTGAAATGATTTATATTACATTCTATATTTGGGGATATCTTTCATTTGGGGTTTGTTGTTTAGAAATAATTATTGAATGGTGGAAAGAAAGAAAAGGACAAACTGATCCAACAAACCAGATGTCAAAAAAAATTCGGTATATAGAAATGGAATATCTTGTCATTTGTTGGTCATGTACATTTTCATTAATTTTTCTCATTAATATTATTGTTCCTGGAAAGAGTCCACGTTTATATTTGCAATCTCATTATACTCATTCAATTCAAGGATTTGGATTTTCTTCTTGGTGGAGAAGTCATGTTGATAGAGATGACTCATCAGGAACATTTCCTTCTGGACATTGTGGCGAGACATTAGCAGTTGCTTTTGGTATTTACTATTCTCATAAAACGATTGGAAAAATTGTTTTTGTCATGACATCCCTTATTTGTATTTCAACAATATGGAATAGATATCATTACTTATCTGATTTGATTATGGGTGTTTTGTGTTCATTATTTGGTTATGTAATGGCAAATCTTCATCTAAAAAGATTAAGTTTGTAGTTCTTGTTTATTGTATTTATGTAAATGTAATATATTAGATTTATTAAAGACTTCTATTCTTTTGCTTTTATCTTTACTTAATCAATACAATACTTTTTTTGATATATTTTTGAAACCTTTTAAGGCATGATAGATTTAAGAAACAGATTTAGTTTCTCAAGGATTATTTTTAAGAGGATTGAAACAGGTATTGTTATTTATTTGAATAGAAATTAGAATAACAAGTGAATAAAATTAATTTTACTATTGAGATTTGTAGTAAAAAAAAGAAATTTTATAAATAAAATAATTCGTTTTTTTTTTGGTGGTAAAAATATTAATTTAACTATGTTGCTATAGAATTACACTCAAGACATTGGATATCTTTTCCAATGTATTTTACATTTTAAATCACATTTGTTACATGCAATGAGATATAGCCATCTTCACAGCAGAGATAAAATTTGTTATAAAAGATTTTACAACCTAAAATTGTTCCACCACAAACTCATTGACAAGTAATTTCGTTTTAAAGCCAGACACTCTCTATTTGTATTATATCCATAACAGTCTTCTTGGTGATTAGAAATACTATCTGTTCTATTTTTGAAATCTTCATTTTATCATAAGTAATACATTTTTTTCCACATAATTAACTTACACCTATTAGAACATCTACCATTAATATCTAGGATATTATCTTTTTTTCACTTAAGACGATTTGTAGTATTACAATTTCGCAATTACTAAATAATAAAGAACATTCAAGACATTTATTTTCTTTTGGTTAATAACAACGTCAGATTCTAATATACCACTACTTACATAACTATGGTATGTTCATCTTTATAGCATTGGTAGTTATTCTATCTAGAAGAAGAATTATTTCACATACCATAAATAACGTCACTATATTTTTCATTATAACAATAATGGGAACTGCTAGAACACATGCCTCACAAGTCATAAATTAGTTTAATATTTTCCATTTGAATATCTCATCTACTTTTTATTGTGTGATATCAAACAACTATCAATAGAAGAGGTAACACATTTTCTATTTAATAGTATGTAATTATCTTTACAAGAAATACCATCACCATCATTCCAACGAACCCTTGTATTTTGATCAGAATAAGAGATACAACTTATTAAATTATTTGAGACATAATATCCTTCTTCACAAAATTACATGAATTAACACAATGATCAAAAGGCTTTGTTTTTATACACTTTGTTGTTCTAAATCAATATGAAATTTATTATATTAACAACTACCACTTTTGGATATTTGACTGTTAATTATATAAACTTAATAACATCCTTTAGAATTAAAATTAAGTGTATATCTTCCATCTTCATTAGAACTAACTTTATTTAACGTAATACTATTATGACAATTACAGATTCTGATGTTCTGAAAAACTATTTTGGATTTGATTGAATACAATCTTATTTCCATAGCTTCTAACTTCATTCATCTTCTTGAAAAAAAATACTAATATTTCCTTTATTCACTATAGATAATTGAATATTAATTATTGAAGAACTATTTTCTGTTTCAATTATCATTTCAGAAAATATTCAACAGCCAAATTCTTTAATATTTAAATAAGTATATCTTTTCCATAATAAGATATTTATCACAATTATGTGTCTTTTTTTTTAACAATCATTTGTGTATTGGTTACTTAAGAACTTTTAACATCAACTTAATACTCGTTTATATGAATATAAATTGACCAACTTCGTTTACTATTTTAATGTTAGAATTTATAGAAGGAAGAGTAAAGTTAGGTAATTATTGAAGAATTAGTATTAATACATAAATAACGAGAACGTTATTATGATTAAAAGTATTGAATTTGATACTTAAAGAATGAAATTAAATTCCTTTCCATGAAAATCAATATCTTTAATTCTTTCTTTTGTAACAATAATACAAGAATTTCTATAACAAAAACAATGAATTAAGTTAAATAAATGGAGAATGATAATTTAAATTAAATAATATTGATTTCATTATATAGGGCTGAAGAATAAAATGGATATAGATATAACGAATTAATATATTATTTAAAAGTATTTTGATATATGCTTTCATTTATAGAAAATGAAGGAGATAGTATTGTACTAACAAGACCAACACAATCTGAACTTTGTACTGATGAAAAATTAATAGATATTTTTTGTTTTTACCTATTGGTGTAAGAATTGGAAGAGTATTTATTTGAAAAGAGTCCAAAATTATAATAGATAAAATAAATTAAAATACTTATCAGCTTGAATGTTGTTTTTGAAGATTAGTAATATCAGACAACATTATAAATCCTTTAATAAGATATTTTTTTAATAATAAGTTCTTTGAAAATGAATTTACCGATTATAGTTGTATCGCCTAAAGACTCTCAAAAATATTAATTAAAAATAATTTGTTCCAATATTCTAGTTCCATTATTAACAATAGATTAAATAATGACTTGAGAAGATTCATTTGAAAGAATCTTTTCCAAACTCTATATAAAATCTACGAATTTTAAATTATCTATATTTGTTTCCTTTAAATATATTTTCATCTTATTCTGAAATATTACTATAGTCAAATTATAACTAGTTCCATTCATAGTAAAATCATTTATCCATCAAAATTATAGTTATTGATAACTAAATCTTGATTAATAATATTTTCAATTAATCCAATAGCTATAATCATAAATAATATTATGAGAATTTACAAGAAGTTTTGGATCTTCAGAACTAAGTAATGAATTATGACATATATCTCTTAGTAAAGTCAAAACAATTAACTCTTAACTCTAACAAATGACTATCACTCAAATAGAGTATGACTTCTGTAATTTCTAAAGAAGCAAAAGAATAGACTTCTCAATCTCTTTGGATAAAAAGAAAGAATAATAATATGCATTCTATAAATTGTAACAGTAAAAAGAGGTTTAGGGCCTTGTAAATAGAATGGAAGATAAATGTCAAATTCTTTGTTTTTTCTCAGGTCCTGGTAATAAAAAATATTTGTACATCTATTTTAAATATGATTGATAAAATGTAATTTTTATTATTGAACTAGTTGTGAGATTCTATTTAGTAATTGCAACTATTGTAACACTATATCCTTGAATGGGAGCAATAAGAAGATCTTTGTTAAGGTTTTGAGTAATAATACTTGGTACTTTAGTTGAGTCAACATTAATACCATTATTAACTAAATTAATCCCAATTTGATTACAATAATTGTTCCAGTTATTATTAATACCATCAGTCCACAACTCTTTATTTGAAATCCAACAACCATCAATACAGTTACTAATAAAAAGTAAGAAAGTTACAACTAATAACATTAAAAATTAAAATAACAGTTTTTGTTTTTATTATTAATTCAAATCAGAAAAATAGAGATTAGACTGAAATTTAATTCGTTGATTCTTTTTCATTTACTTGAAATATGACAATACAAAGGATAAAACAATTATGAGAAGAATAATTTCAATAAGTGAATAACATATTTTTAAAAAAATTGTTATAATAATATTTCTATATTAATTTATTTAAAAATGAAAAAAATAATAAATGAAAACTTTTTTGTAAAAATTATTAATGTCCACTCAAAACATTATAAAACCTTAAAAAAAAATTGACTTATTGAAAAAAAAACAATAGTTAGTTTAAATAAACTGTAAGAGAAACTGAGTCTTCTTCAAATTGAATTTTATTTCTTACTAAATACAATTGCATTTTATTTTTTATTACAGAAAATCCTTGTCTTGAACTATGCTTTCCTAATCCAGTAATAAATCTAACTTTACCAATTCCAGTAATTCCACTAGTATCTAAAACTTGTCGAAGAGCTTTAATAGCTTCAGTTTCACCAAAACCATGCAAATCAATTTCAATACATTTTTTTGAATGGTCACCTGTTTTTCTAAGAAGAATACGTAAGTATAGATTCATTACATTTTGTTGTTTAAATTGAATCTGTCTAGTAACTTCATTTAATTTCTTTTGGAAATCACTTGCGTTTGAACTTCCTCTCGGAGCTAATGACAACTGATGTGCATAAATACTTCTTTCTTTTGCAAGATTAATAATTTCATTATTTGTACGTTTAACAAATTGCTCTTCTGACTCTCCAGAAAGCATTCCAGTTATTTTTGGTAATGAAGGTGCTTTATAAAATTGTTCTTGGTGTTGGTTATCAGTTTCAGTTTTTGTTATATCAGAAATTAATCCAAATTTCTTTTTTAAATCATCTCTTCCATCACTGATAACATAAAGGATAAGTTCTATATTACCCTCTAATTGTTTATATAATTCTTTTATATCATCTTCATCAACTATTCCTTTTAATAAATCTATTAAGTATGACAACTTTAATTTATCTGCCGAAGCAAATAAACTTTGTTCTTGTGAAAAAGAAGAATCATTAAATCCTTCGAGAGTAATTTGATTTAATGTATGATCGAATTCACTTTCAATAGATTTAGGATGTTGCATGTCATGTGAATACTTTTGCCATTTCTTTAAACTAATTTCATTTGGAGATAATTGTTTTGGTTGTGGTTTTTGATACATTGAAGGAATATAATTTGCTTGTTGAACAATAAGTATCTCAGCGGTTTTATTCACATCAAGTTGGTTTTCTTCTAATAACATTTCTAAAAGTCCACTATCTATGTCAGGAAACATACTTTCAAGCTCACCTAATCTTCTTAATTTTAATGGAACTTTTTCTTTTTTTGGTTTAATTTTTGATGGGTTTGGGGGTGGTAAATTTTCAATGAATTCATCTAATTCATCTAACTGATAAGTCTTTCTTCCTTTTTGTTTTATTGTATATTTAGGTGGCATTTATTATTTGAAGAAAATTTTCTTATTTTAGAGATTATTCTTTTTTTCTTCGTTTTCTATAAAACATAATTATGATAGTGAGTCAAAAAATGAGACAGTTCTAAAAAAGGAATAAACAAATTCTATATTTTATAATAATTTAGCTATTTATTTTAACTATTTATTTGAGACTATTTTAAGCTTAATTTAATGAAAAACAATAATTATAAATATCAATAACAAATTCTTTCATTTTTATTATTATTTCTTATTTCTTTTTCATTTTCTTCTTGTTTTATCAATTGTGTCATTCATGTAAAATTGAAATTTGATGATAAATAATCAGTTAAGAATTATGTTGACATTTTTAAATAAATCATATTTAAAAGTGTTTTAAATGTTTCAATTCATTAAAATATATTAATTTATCATTTTTATCATTTGAATAGATGATAAATGATGTTAATGATCAATTAATGAATAAATATTATCATTAATCACTTGTTTTGTTGAATAAAATTGAATATGTTCTATTTCTATCTTTTTTATTCATTTTATATCATTTATTATGTTTCTCATTTAGCTTCTACAAGAATGTTATTTATTTAAAATAAACTGTTTTTCAATAACTATTCATATTAATGATGTTATAAATTGAAATAATAATATTCATCAGTTTTGAAGAAATTCTGTATTTTTTAAAGAAACAATAGTATTTGTATTGATTTATTTAGATGATAACACATTATTTAATCTTGTTATTACATTTGATATTATTGATTGATTAGTATTACTTATTCAATGAATGAACTTTTCTAGAGAATCACTACAACATTGATTGGATAGTAAATTCAATTAAAATTTGTTATGAAATCTATGATGAGTGTTAGATATAATTTAATCATGATGATTTATATAATAATTTAAAAATATTTGTAAATCAATAAGAAGAATATATCATTCATTAATATTTAATAATGATGAAATTTGATTTCAATAATGATTTGATATAAAGAAATATAAAGTTGTTGTTCATAATACATTTAATGATGATTAAATCAAAAGTAATTGAATAAATACAAAATAATCAATAATTCTGATTTGTATTAATTTTGATTGTTTATTTAAATATTCATTGGTTATTTTAAATATCAAATCAATAAATATTGATGTATTTCATTATTTATTCTTTATTATATTTATTTATTTTTGATTGTGTTTTATTATTAAAACTTGTTTATATTTTCTTCTTATATTTATTTTATTTCAATGATAATAAACACAATATTAATGAATAATTTATAATATGATATAATTCAGTTTTATTAATTGATAATTTATCAATGATTTAATATTAATTTAATGTTTTATTTATTATTGAATAATATAGTTATTTATATATTCATTCAACATGTTTATTATCTATTCTATTATTTAGATTTAGTATTATTTGAAATTAGAAGATGCAAGTAAACAATATAAATTTATATTTAAATATCAAGTATTCATTTTGGTTGTATTCATCATATTCATTCTTTATGTGATTTCACATTTTCATTATTATCTCAGTTATTATTTCGTTAAACATCTTGTTGATGATTTAGAAATTGGATATGATTGTTTAGAATATTTCATTTTCTTCATTATTTCATTTATCAAATGATGTAATATTTAATACAAGAAATGATAATAAATAATAAAATCAATAAAGAATGATATAATTCATAACATTAATAATTTAATTGAATAAATTAGAAATATAAAGAGAAGAAATGATAATAAAACTAATATTTGTGATATTAGATATGTAAATATATTAATTAATAGATTAACTGATTTTATGAAAGTTAATAATGATGATAATGAAACAATTACAATATGGATTCAATAATATCAATATCATTGAAATAATTAAATTAAAACAAGTGTATTTGAAATATTATAATCAAAATTAATAATAATAAGAAATGAATAAATAGATACTACAAATATCATTAATACAAACAATAAGAAAATAATGAAGAAAGAAAATAATAATCAAGTATTCAATTACTTAAATCAAATTGTTGTTATGAAGAGAATAAAATAAGAATGAGTTGTTAAAATAAAATAAAAATATAAAAATTAATAAATCAAACAGAAAAGAGAGAAAAAGATAAGATAATAGATGAAGAAATGAAGTGATAAAGAAAATAATAACAAAAATAAAAAAATTTAACAACAAATAAGAAACAATAAATAAAATAAAATAATAATATAAATAAAAATAAATTATTATTTTATTATTTATTATTTATTATATTATTATTATTATTATATTTAACTATTTCATTATTAATTTCATTATAATTTATTATTAATATTTAAACTATTTCATTATGATATTTAATTTTATTATTATTTCTTTATATTCTATATCTTTCATTCATATCACATTACTATATCATTAATTATATAATAATATTGTGTTTTCTCATTTCTTGTAATAATCTATTTTTAATTTTGTTACAATTTATCATTTTTATTAAATACTCTCTGTTTTCATGACATTAATATTGTTTGTTTGTTGGTGTTACTTAGTTGTGGTAATTTAGAAATACTTTCATTATTTTGAACTCTTTAAATATTTAACATAAATTTATAAATATTTAATATTATAAATAACAAAACAACACTTAGAAATGAGAAAAGAAATGATAAAATAAAAGATTAACATAAACAATGAATCACATGAATGATACAAATAGAATGATATATAAAAGAAATCAAAATTAAATAAAACATTAAATAAGTAAATATACATTACAGATATTAGAATATATTTAAATACAACATAATCATGTTTTGATATTTGATAAAATTAAAGACTATAAATTATATTAAATGAACAATGAAATAGAACAACACTATCATATGTTACATTTACTGATACATAAATACTTAATAGAGAAACAACAAATAATCAAAATAGAATGATAAGAATACAATAATTGAATGAAAATGAAAAATAAGAAGAATATTTAATGAACAATCTATTCAAAATGATATGAAACAATTAACAATTAAATTAGATGATGAAATACATGATAAAACAATAAATGAAATAAAATATAAAAGAGAAAATAAAATAATTATAACAGAAGAAATAATAACAAAGATAATAACTAAAATAAAAGAATAAAAAAACAAATAATAGAAAAGAATAAAGAAAAGAATTATTACATAACATCATATTTTAATGAATCACAAATACAATCTACTAAATATGAAGAATTACATGAATATAATGATAAATAACAATGAACAACAACTAAATGATAATGATATGATAAAAAGAAAACAAGAAATAAGAAAATAATAATAAATAAACAAAATAAACAAATGATATAACAATACATAGAAATGAAGAAAGAATAAATTAAATAAAACAAGTAATAGAGATACA